ATGATTCAGCTTTTTTGTTGTACTCCCACATTTATCAATTTCTCTTTACCATTTAAGTTGTTACAGCTTTTAAAAAGGTTTTGACTGCTCATCTTTAATTGCCCATTAACAGTTGGGAGTTAGGTCAGTTTGTGGTCATTGTCAGACAGCTGTGGCTGTTCAGTTCCAAGTTAGGAAAACGGTTGTGTATTTACCATTAGTTTCAATGGGAAACGAGAATGACAGCAATGTTTATGGACCACTGTGTAGGAACATGGATGGTCCCTTACATGTATTCAGGCCTGTTGTAGTAACAGACCTTTAATCATTTTTTTAAAGCAGACAGTAGAAGGCTGGATTGACACAGAAAAATTGATACTACATATTAGTGATTTGTTTTTGTTCACTTCCGTGCATAAGGTTCAACGCTACTGTTTCTATTATCTGTGTTTTTCTTCTTTCTCTCCTGTATGTCCTTCTGTATTATCTGGGATATTAAAAAGAAAAAGTAAAAATCAAACTTATGTTTCTGCTGTTTGCTGTGTTTTAGGTAATAAGGAACACCTTAAACACATTAACATATGAAATGGTCCTTATTATCCTGCTTTATATCCCCCCATCCAACTCAGTAGTTTAGTGTCATAATAATCTTTGTTTAAATTGTGGTTGGTTAATGTGCTTATACTTAAGAGTGATTTGGACAGTTTTGCCGATGTTCATCCAGTTTTGTGTGTTTGGGTAAGGCTCTCATAAACTGCATTATGCTTGATAAGATGCTGTCTTTATCCTGTGGTGCACCTAGTTTCATATATGTGAAGACAAAAAGCATGATTATACCAAATTTTTATGATAATGTAAATAGCAAGTGTGTGAAGAGCAGGGTGAGGAAAAGTAGTGCCTTCAGTATACCCCATTACAGCCACAGGGGACTTATTAAAGAACAGATACAGAGGTGGAGACAGAGATCGTGTCTGCTGGTGGAGAAACAAGTGTTTCTCAGGTATAAAAGCCAGAACTTGTTGGGACTTTTAGTCAAAGCTGCTGCTTTTTTAAATTTTTATTTGTAAATTGATTTGTAGACAAGAAGCAGAGCTCTTCTACACTAATACATCTGCTGCAGATTTATTTTCTTTACAGAAAAGACTACTTGAAATCCATACAAATAGTTTGTTTTAGGAAAATCTTACAGAATGCAAGAACTTTTTAGTACTCAAAGCCAAAGGAAACCAAATTGTAACAACACGTCAAAGTTCAGATTTGGTAATACCCTTCAAGTAAGGTATTTGTTCTAACTGTTCCTGAAGAGACTGAACCATAGCTGTTGTTCCTCGCTTGTTCACCCACTCCCCCCGCATCCTCCTCACACAGAAACAGCTATGACTGTGGTCTGAGGGTTTGGATCTGGAGCTTGAGGATCACTTGAATTCAGTTGTTCTCCCTCAGGCTTTCCTTGAAAGGTGAAATCCTACACTCTAACCATTCTAAGTCCATAGGCTTTTGCCAGCTTACAAGGAACAAAGAATTGTAAAGAAACATACAGAACATACATGCAGTACTCTGCGCCACTGAAACCTGGAAGCAGACTCAGTGTTCCTTTTTTATCACAATTTGCAATGTCCAATTTATATATTTTGAATTTAGGAGTCTTTATTTCCTAGGAGGACTAAGAAAAAACTGTTTTCTTTAAATGACAGGTGCCTTTATTTTGTGTTGACAGGATCTAGGACTTGAGTTAAATGTGCAAGTTCAGTAAAACATAATAAATCACGAGAGTTGTCTGACTTGTATAAATGACACACAAAATGTATTTAACCACCTGAATTCAAGTTAAGTCTTGAAAAACTTGGTGTCTATTTAGAGAAAATTGTTACTTGAGCAATGCTAGACTGACCTCCAGTGTTTGTTGTGCAAGCTGCAACTAAAAGAGCCGATAGGATGTGTTTGCAGGTACCACATGCAGAAAGAGCAGGTTTAAGCACTTTCATATAATAACCTTTGCAGATGAGCAGTGATCAAAAAGGGATTAGGGGAGAAGGTTATAATTTGCTGAGTGCTATCTGAGTTCTAGCGCTTCACTATGAAGCTACTGTGCTCCCAAGAGAGAAGGTGATCTTACTACAATAGAAATCACTAAAAATATTCTGAAGAAAGCCTCAACAAAAATAGCACTGTGATGTTAAATTACTGAGATAGGGAAGTTCAATATCTAAAAAAAGTCATTAAAACCTTAACATACAAGCCTGAAGTAAAACTCTGAAATTCCTGAAATGTAATAAGGTCTGCTGCAAGTACTGGAGAGCCTCTGCATGTACAGATGTTTAATTAATAAAGCATGGCCCTGCTCTACATCATCTTATTTTAAAGACCTTAAAGTCTGAGATATTTGGCTACCTTAAGGGGCTGAAGCAATGTAAGAGGAGAGAGAAAATCGGTAGTTGCAGTAGGGCAGACCTTCCACAGCATTCAAATAAGCATTTAGATGCTGCAGCCAGCTGCTCAGGTCATCTTTTACAGACATCAGAGAGGGAGATCCTTGTCTGCGGTGGGCAAGGGTAAGCTCACCTACTTCCGAATGGTGTGAGAAATTCTTCAGAAATACTTTCCAGTAGTAACCATTGAGCTGTCCTTAAGATGACTAGTTATGAGACTAACAGCTTACTAAAGCATTTGGTATGTCATAGGCTAACATTAGCTAAGTTTATGCATATATATGGTTAATGTACATAAAATGATATTGTCAAAGAATTGGTTCATTATCAGAATTCATGAATATAACATTGCTTTATTAATGTATTGTTCTATACAGCTATAATTTTTTAACGTATGTCACCTGATTTTAAGTGGGAATAAGAATTACAGCTGACAGCCTCCAGGACTGTGGTATTCAGAAAGTTTTCCTAAACTGAAAATGCACTTATAATACACCTGCTTTGGAAATTCAAACTAAATGAAAACCATCAGTGCCCAGAATTTTTCTTCATGGCTGTACTACAGGTGAAGTAAACATGCAAAAAAGCTTTAGTGTATCTCACGGGCTTTTAATGAAGATGTAACTGGTCAAAAAAGAACATGGGTAACAGATGTCATTTCCAACTGGATAAGTGCATTTAGGAAAGTAAACTTATCTCCCAAAAGAATCTTAAAAGTTTTATTTCTTAATTTATTACTTTATTACTTAAAACTAGCAAGAGCTGGACTCTGGATAGATAACAAAGAAAATTCTGGTTTAGGACTTAGATAAAATAACAGTACTAGATAGCTTTCCCCATATTTTTTTCCAAGTCTAACTTTTGTAAGTGAAGATGACAAACTCCAGAATTTTTATTAGGAATATGGACAGTTTAACCAACCAGTAGAAAAAATGTGCAAGTTATAATCAGCTTCAAATGTATTCTTCAGCATTAAATAATCTTTATATTGTTACTGTCTTCTTTAGAAATACAGGACAGAGCCCCAAGCATTTCAACACTTCCATTTTCTTGCCTTTTTTTACCTCAAGTGCAACTTTCATTCAGTAATGCCTAATCCACCCCTTCTCATACATTTTCTCTGTGGCTTCTTACTTAATCAGTCTCTATAAGCTTCACGTATACAATAGTTTCAATATTTATTCCTGATAGGAATATTAATATGTTGTATCTGTGATGCTTGCAACAGAAAATTGGCTTAGATTCTGCCTGAGTTAACAAGAAAAACAGCCGTGTCAGTGGAACCGTAACTTTGTGCCTATATTTAATTTAAAATATTCAAGAGTAAATTTTACATCTCCCTTGAAGAATGTGAGTGAATTAATGAACCTGACACAAATTGTGTATTAAAACATCAGAAAATCTCCCTGTTGATCAGTGCCTGGCTTAATCCCATTTGTGCCTAAACATAAAATCTATTTGTAGTATTGGCAGGTTGCAATTATTCTGGGTAAACTACCACTTTAATTCCTCTTAAGCCTCAGTGGTAAATTGTAGGAATAAACTTTTGCAGTTCTTTACACATATAAAGTAAAATACTTTGTGTATTTTGAATTATAAAACCTTGAATGTAGGAAAGCTAAAACTGAGTCACAGAACAGATGCAACTTTGATTATCTTTTGAAGTCAGTTTACCACAAGTCTTTCAACTCAGTGTCCTCGTTTCAGATTAAGCTTCTACATACACGTATTATACAATATTAGAAAATCTACTGATTACACAACTACTGTTAGCATTTTGCTTGTGCAGAAATCTATGGTATACAATATTAGCACTCATTGTTAAAAGTTTGTTACAGGTCTATATTGGTGATCTATGTTGCTGGCAGGCTGCATGTGGAGAAACAGTGGTAAGGTGCTTTTGTTGAATTGAGAACCTTGTGATATTCATATTATAATAATTTTTGATCTTTGGTTATTCTTACCTTTATAGCTTGTTTTTCGTACTTAAGAAAAATATTCCTGGTGAAAATTCCAAAAGATAGTTTTAAGAAATAAACTTCAATCAATGGAAGTATTGAGATTTGTGTCTTTTCCTTATGTGGATCCCTGGAGGATTTAAACATGGGTTCAGGAACTGCAGGCAGTGCTGTTTTCTTTCTGACACTCATGGTGATATGATTAATTTTGCAATTACGCTTCCATACTGCTAATTTCATACTGCATGGTACGGGGTAGTAGTGGTAAGTAGCAAGAAGGCTGTTTTTAAAGAGTTGTCTTTACATAATATTTATTGTTTGTATAAAATTAGTTTATGGATTCAATTAGAGTTCTGACAAGTCTGGTTAATAACGTATAAATGTGAATTAACTCTCTCAGTACTTCCATTAAAATTGAATAAACTAGTAAAGCAACTTAAAATAATAGAAATTACTAATAACTGAATTTACAGATAACAGCTGAAGGTAAACGGACAGTCAGAATATAGGAAAGTGCTGTCTGTAAAAGAAAAAAAAATTATTTCTGAAGTGATTCAAGTGACAGCTAACATCAGGAGTTACTGCAGCAGTGTGAAAATTTGCTAAGTAATTCGGGTTTGAAATTTCCTTTGTCCTAGCATGCTCCAGATTACTCAAGCAACCACGGCACTGCACAATGCCCACTGTGGTGTTAGATCTTCACGCGAATGCGTTTAGGAGACAGCTCTCGTTTGCAAACACACTGCAGAACAAGAGCCTTTTGTCACACGGTGTAAAGGAAGAAGGTTTGTCGAAGAAGCACCAGGCCGGCGGGCAGCGGGTACATGAAGAGGGTGAGATTCCCTCTGTAAACTACCTGCCAAGGTACAAACGGAGAACTAGAGGCAGCGCGCCGCGTGCCTGGCAGTAGCGCGAGGGAACGCAGCCGTTGGGGCAGGTGGAGCGCACAGCCGTTGGGGCGGGGCCGTGGCCCTTGCCGCGGGTTGAGCCTCGTGGCTGGGCGGGGTGAGGTGGACTGCGTTATGTTCCCGTTCAGTGAGAGGAGGGGCAGGGTAAGGTGGGGAGTAGAAGGCAGCGGGAGGTGGGTTCCCGCCACCTCCGGACCACCCTCTTCCCGGGTGGTTTTTCGAGCCTACCCCAAATAAAAGGGCAAGAGCATCTGTGTCTTGTGGAGTGGGAGAAGGGAGCGATGCAAACAGGGAGCTGGGAATGTTAGACTGCAGGTTGTAACGGGAGTGTGTGCATGCAGCAGGTTGTTGAGGCAGTCCCCTCAACGTAGAAACTGGGAAGACACTTAGGGGCAAAAAGAGGTATATGAATATCCCCTCTTACTGAAAAGAGAATGTGTCTTAGAGAGGTGTTTCTAGATACAATGGTAGTGCTCTGGTGTATTACAAATCTGGTTGCTTTTTTGCTCAGAGCTGTTCTGGCACTTTAAACTGATTTCTGTGGTATGAATGGTATGAGCATGTTAAGTAGGTGAAAATATGTTTTGTATAGGGGCTTTGACAGCTGTGTTTTAGTGTAGCATCTTCTTTCATCCGTTTTGCCAGCGCACTTTCCAGGGAAATGTGTGGGCTCACCTCTGCTGCCCTATTTCTGCCTTATCACACACATTTTTTTACCAGCAACTGCCTCAGCAAAATTTGAAAGTGCTTTCAGGGTCTTTTGTAACAAGGTGATTATTTTCAGTGGTTTGAAGTGGCAAGACCCTATTCTGACTGCAGCTCTGAAGTTACCAGAGCTTTTGAAGTAATCCTTAACAATCATCACAAATTGGGGATAAAAATGGAGGGGAAGAAGGGTTGGGAGTAGGGTTTTGAGTCCTTTTACTGTTAGCTTCTTTTTCTCTGTTGGGTTAAACCTTTTAATATTGCTTAGTGGCTATGCAGCTTGGTTGGTGCATTGTGTTTTAGAAAGTTCAAGAGTAAATTACCTTGGTATGAGAGAATGAAATGCCTGCAGTGTATAGAGTTCTTGCAATTTGTCAGAGGAATTGGCAAGTTTATGGCCTGGAAGAAGCTATTGAGTTCTGTAAGTACCTGAATAATGATCACCTATTTTGTAAAGTTCTTAAATTTAACAGAAAAGGAGAGAAATATTTGAACAAAGGAAAAATACTCTATCTAAAAAGATAGTTTTAAAAATAAGTGTAGAACAAGGGAGTTGAGGAAAAAATCCAACAATTGTTATTTTGTGATTAGTTTAATGTAGTTTTCACAGCAAAATGACTGGTATTTCTGTGATGAGAGCTCATTTTTTTTTCTGTGCAGATGCCATTGAATTGGGATTGTCCAGCAAAACACTGGTGACAGATTAAGAAACTAGTAGTGAAAGATGGGCTAGGTATAGAAGTCAAAGGATTAAATTTCACAGGATGTGAAGTTACAGGTAGTTGTGACTAGGTAATAGCAGATGTTAGAGGCATGGACAAGGTTACATGAAGGCTGTTAAGGAAATCTGGAAGACAGCCAAAGTGGAAAATTATAGTAGTTTACAGTACCTTGTACCGTTAACATATTTTTAGATACTGTGTGTGGAACATTTTAAAGGAGCTTAAGAAGTGGTGCTGCAGTGGTATTTGCAGTGGCACTGCATGACTTCATAATTTCTAATGACATGTGCCTGCCACTTTCACAGATGACCTTCACAAGTGACCTATTAAAGCCAAATTCAAGTGGAAAAGCTTTATAGCAACAAATGAATAGGAGGGGTTATTTTTTAAGCTAAAGACAACTTGTGAATGATTCAGGTGCCAGAGCATACATGTCTAGAGACATTTTAAGACACATAGGGTCTCATAAAGCATCCTCATATCCAGCTCTGGCGTATGTAGTTGAAGTCTATTGGGAAACCTGCAGTGCCCTGGGGGCTTGTATTATGAATACCCTACAGTATCTAAGGTGGCGCTAGCAGCTTAGGTTAAGCAACTGAATCCAGAACAAAGAACTTTAAATAAACCAGTATTTTTCACACCTCTCCTTAGTGTACCTGTTAAAATAAGGAGGATCTTTCTTCACCACTGTAGTAATTTGCTTAATTTATGAAGCACTGATGTAGTTACAAAGATCTAATGATTGAAAAAGGTGTAATAGGTATCAGCTGCATAACTCCACTTGCCTATATTCAATCTTTCAGTTAAGTGAATTCTGTTTTTGTTTGTTCTTAACCTTCAAATAACATTCATGAAGTAAGAGAGCTGAGAAATGCTGAGAAGTACTGTAACTGCAGTTAGTAAGATTTAGACTTGCATTTTATCACACAGATTTAATATAGTGGCAAGAAAATCAAATCTTTCTTGGTCTGGAAGCTTTCTGCTCCGACTACTGTTGTTCATGCTTTCTGAATTCGTGAGTTGAAGGTAAAGAAAGGGTTTCAAGGTTGAACCCAGAAAAAAATTCTGAGGAATGAATTCTGAATAAAATTGTAAGTTTAATATGGCAATAGTAGGTACATTTCTCCATATTAAATTATTGCATCCTCTGGGAAAGTGTGCTTAGTTTCTGTGAATAATATTTGATGCTTTTGCAGGGGAAGAAAATCTGTAGTATCTTCTGTCTACACCTTTTATCTGCCTTTCATTCTGTGCTTCAAGCGCAGAAGATGCTACTGAAATCTGTTGGCCACTGCATGATAGGGCCTAATGTGATTGATTTCTCCTCATTCCCTTCAGTTATTTCAGTACTCTCTCTTATGCTTGTCCAAGGCTCGTTTTTTGTTTTCCTCACCTGTGAGTAGTCACATGTGTGCCCATTGCTCAGGTCTCTCAGGTCTCTCTTTTTTTTTTTTTTTTTCCCTTCCTTTCTTTCTAGTCGAGCCTCTCCAATGGTGTTAGCTGGTGTCAGATTACCTCAACCTTCATGTTGTATCTACCCTTTTTACCTCTAAATCAACTAAAAATAGCCAAATTGCTGTGCTTGAAATTTTCCAAAAAGAAAATTCAGCCAGACACATGTACTTTATGCAGTTTTTCTGATTGAATGGTTTAGTACCATTAAGATTTTAAGCAGCAGAATAGATAGAAGTATTGAGCAACCTCTGCCTTTTCAGAGTTTCTGGTTTTTTTACATAAGTGCTTTTGCATACTACACTTAAGGGTACTCAAATTTGCTATAACTTCACTCATGTCCACTGCTCGAATGGCTGCCCTGGTAGAAAGTCTTATAAATGTGGGGTTATCTGCCTAGAAATATGTTTTGAATATTTTGTGAAGGTAAATGAAGAAGGTTGTCATGTAAAGCATAGTTTATATGAACTTTTATAACACGTACATTGCAACTATATTTGACCTGAGTTTTACAATAATGGCCTTTGCTTTTCTTCTTCCCCTTTCCCCTCTAATAGTTGAATTAAGCCTCATTGATTTCTCAGGGGCCTTTGCCATTGACTTAAATGGCGTATGATGTAAGGTCTAGAAGCTCAGTGCCAAACTCTGTTTGCAAGTGTAGGAATGAGCTTGGGGTTTCTTTAAGTGACATTTTCAGTAGCAACTTGTCAGTGCAGACAGGAACTAACAGTTTAGGAGGAGGTCCCAAATCAGTATAGCCCTCCCCATTTTGACTCTCTTCCCCCCCCGTTTTGTTTCTCATAGACTAGGAATGACAGGAACCATTTGCTGTCTCACTGTCAGTGCCTCTGGAGTCAAGCTGCATCAAGAGGAGTTCTTCACGGAGCTGTTTCTAGGATCTCTTGTTAGATTCTCAATTCAAAAGGTAAGGTCGAAGACAAATGCAGGGAATTTTCCACTTAGTGAAAGTACATGAAGCTATGAATGGAACTATGGTTGCTTAATCAAATAATCATCTCAAAATTTGAGTTAAAAAGCTGATTTTTCTTAACCAACTTTCTAGAAAAAGAACTTTTAAACCTTTTTTTTTGATGTTCTGCATATTTTTAAATCATAGTGGCCTTGTCACTTGAAGCTAGTAGTCAAAGTTGTACAGTGTGTTTGCCTGTTTTCCAAATATGAAAAAGCATGTTGGAATACTGGAAGTATAAGTGTTTCATGGGTGCTGTTATTGTAAAAAATTTAGCTTGCCTCTTGGTACTTCACTTGATTTTGCATCTAATTCAAGGAAGATACATGTAAATGTACATTTATCATCTTAATGTTGGAAATGCTGAATTACTGTGCAAGGAAATTTTATGCAATTACTTTTGATTTTTAAAATATGAAAGGCACTTGTTTAAGAGCGAGGAGTAATGGAGGGCTGTTATGTTCAATGTAACACTCGACATACTTAAAAAACTTCATGTACATCTTTTCCTTTGTGTAAAATCCATTTGGATTCCTTTTATTAAAGACAAGAACTATGCTCACAGCTGGTGAAGCCCAAAAGGCATCCAACAGTGAAGGATTAGTCCTGGTGATAGGCATTTAGAAAAAAAATGCATAATAAATGGTTGCTGTTCTCTCCTATTCCTAATCAGCTGGTTAATCTTAGGAGGTTAATCCACCTCAAAACAAACTTGGTTTTGTTTGTTGGCTGGTTTTTTTTATTATTCTTGGTTGGTGTTTGGTTGTTTTTTATCTTTATCTTTTTTTTATTGGCTGCTTTTTAGCCAAGTCCTTTTGAATTGTAATGAGAGCAGATGTATAAAAGGGCAGGAATGTCTTTAGTCTTTATTTCTGAAGCTGTTTCACCAGAAATGATGTATCAACTAAGTAGGGCTTTTCTTCTGAGATGCATTTTGAATTGAAACCGGTTGTCTGAGTTGGTAGAGGAAATAGGGTGGCATACAGCACCAGGAACCCCACTGGAAGAATTAATCTGCATGTCAGAGGTCTGACCATGTATACAGGCATGGCATGGTGGGATTATGGTTTTGCATAAATACTGTATTTCCTGTTCCCTGTATTTTTGATTGTGCTTTTGTAGGTGTTAGCTAACTAGCTGCTTGTGCAACATCCAAAACAGTGCAGTTTGAGAACCATTTCTTTTGTTTGCATGCATATATCAGAATTAATATATACTCAAGAAGTATCAATTACATTTGTTACCTTTAATTTTGGGATTGTTTTGTATGTGTCTGTAGACAATAGGGAAGAAGTGTTATAATATTGGGGTCACTGGACAAAAATAATGCAAACCTTTATATCAGTTTGAAAATAGTTACATAAAATGGTATGTAATGGTGACACATCCTGGGGTAATGCATAGGTGCATAGGTATGAAACTACAAAATCAGTTGTCAAGAGTAGCAGCTCTAAAAAGAAAAGAAAAACCATGGGTTTTAACTCATTGCAAGTAAGAGAGACATTTATTAAGGAAAACAGTGTAGTATGATGTTGCAATAGGTAACCCTCAGCAAATAACAAAAAATGGAAATGAGGAGACTGCATTTAATAAAAATAAAATCCTTTCAGTAGCACTTCGTTCATATTCTTCTTGTCCATTTTTTTAATGAGTTGAACAAATCCTATTTTTAGTGGAAGGTCAACTTGAACTGTATTTAAACAGTCTCTGGTTCTGAATAGAGATAGGAACACTTTAAAAGTGATAACAAAAGGAAGGGCTTGGAGCCAGACCTCTTAACCTGTTGTTACCAGCACAGGATAGCCATCCATGTGGGAACTTAATGTCACTTAAATAGAGAGGGATCCTTGTTCTGTGCTCAAAGTGCATGTGGTGAAAATAGCAGAGACCCATGTGAAAGGATTATTTTTTTTTCTTTAAGAATCTGAAATGAGTCTAAAGAGTATTAATGAAAAATTTTTAATTTTGAATGAAATGCTGCCATATTACGTCACCACTGTCTTTTGTCTTTTTTGAAGCAAATGCTTTTTCAGTATTTTAAATATTACAGCTGCAGTTCTGAGACCAAAAGCTACAGTACCTCCAAAAAAGTATCTGGAAGAAGTGTTAAGAAGATAAGATTGGCAAAGAATTTCTAAACCAAGCAGGATAGGTGTTGGTTAAAAAGCAGAGTCAGGAACGCTAGTGCAAAGCCAAAAGTTCTGTAGCTGTAGGCCATAGAATTCACACCTCTGACGGAACATCTAGAATTTGTCAGTGTGTGTATGCATTCAACCAAGGCAGTAATTGTGATAGTATGTTTAAGGGAGAAGAATGCATTAACTGACCTTACTATGACGAAGTGCTAGTATCTGGGTAACTTTGACATGAGTATGGAAGATGAGATTATATTCTTATATTTCTAGTGTAAATTGCATCTGGTAATCTTTAGCCTGCTTATTGGCCCCAGTTAAGGTGTGAATAAGGCAGTCTAGTGATCAGATGGTTGTATCCCAGCACTCCATCCCTGATTCTGCCACTGGCATTTTGTGTGATCTTAAGTAAATAATTTTTCCTCTATGATTGTATTTCCTTATGTGATATTGGAAGATGACCTCTGCCTGAAAAAGTGCTTTGATGAAATACGCCATAGAAAAAGTAGCTATGACTATTAAATAAGGAAGAGAGCATGTTATGAATATTGTCTTAATTTGTTATCTCACTAGACATCAAAAAGTCTTAATGACAGAAGTTCATTGAGTTGTAATACTTACGCTCATCTCAAACTTTTTTCCGGAAACCTTAGTTAAATGTTTCCATTCCATTAGGTGAGTCGTAACCTGTTCCTTGCCATATGGAGTCTCCAGCATCCAGTGAGTGCAGGGCTTACACTGTGTTTTTTTTCCGTGGTAGATTCATTATAAGGGATGACATATGACACTGTTTATGCTGAGAATGATGCTGAAGAACTTGGTGAAAATCTTGTGTCCTTGGGAATTTCAGCTACTTTTCAGAATGTGGTTGAAGTTGGCCAGTGGGTTGAAAAAGTACTGTAGTAGACACAGAGGCAAGTGAAAGGGAACGCAAGAGGAAAAAATTGTGGGTTTTTTTTTTTTTTTTTTTTTTTTTTTTTTTTTGTTGTTGTTGTTGTTGTTTTTTTCCCCCTCTCAGCATTAGAAATGATCTTCCGGTTACTTCACTGCTTATCTAAATTCCTAAATGTAAAACCTGTTTAAACAAAGTAGTCTTCATTGAATACTAACAGATTCAAATTTTGGTGCTGCTTTCAGTTCTCCAGCTCTTTTTTCTTTTGTGATGTCTATACATTAATAGACATGTTTCCTGTTACTAGTGATAAGAGGTGATAAAATCTGGGATGATTAGAGTGAACCTGACAGGTTTGCATAGAAATCTAAATAATGTGGCAGGTGCATTATATGTTTTCTTTGGTGTTAAACGGGCCACGTCATTCCCAGGTGTCAGAGGTATCCGTCTATACCAGGGCGTGATCTGGCCCACAAAATACAGCAAGTCTTCAAGCATAAAACAAAAAAAGAAGTCCATGCTGTTGTATTGCAGACGGGACTAGTATATTTTAGTATTCTGAATGTCTTACTTCATTTATCAGCTAGATGATTAAAAACACAGTGACTGTTGTGGCTTGTAAAATGTGATTTGCAGTTGGTATAGTGACTCTGTAGCAGTGTTGGCACCAATTAATGAAGCTGTATAATAAATATTGAAATTAAGAACAAATATTAAAACATACTCTGTTACATATACTCAGCAACGTTTCATGTCTTAGAAATCTTCAGGTGTCCTGTCCATGTCTATCTTGCTTAAAAATACTAATCCAGACTGGTTTGTTTTAATATTTTTCTTGTCTTTTCTGTTTTTTAGAAGGCAATAGGCCTGCGCATTTTATGAAATTGATAGGATAATATATTTTATGTCAGTGTAGTGTAATGTATAATAGAAAAAAAAGAACCCAAAGAAAACAAATTTGGTACCAAGTTACTGGGCGAAGGCGTTATGAATCTCTTTGCTGTCCAGCTCAGAAGTCTGAGTCACTGCCTTGGGGCAGAAGCTGGCATACAGTCAGAATGGATGGGAAAACAGTAGCTGTGCTGGGAATTATAAGTACCAAAACTATCAGTAATGACGTACTTCATGTCTTATAATTGCTCATAAGCTTTTAAATTTTTTTTAACATATTTTGTGCTCTAGTATATAGCTTTAAGGATGCCCATCCCCCTGCCACCCCTCCAGCAGCCACTGTGTCCTGTCAGTCATCCTGAAATACACTGGAGAGCTTGTCACAGTCCCTTGCAGATGCTTCAGAAGCCAAATAGTGAGGCATAGCAGTTGCACTGTAGTTCCTAACACAAGGAAATCACATAGACAGTTGTTTTAGTGCTGAATATGGACCGTGTATATTCTAGGATAGGTGAGTGATGTGCTGTTGGCTTTTTAACAACCTAGCAGGAAATGGATTCTAAAGTTAACGCTTTCTAATTTATGCAGAATATATTTAGCTCTGCTTTCTAATTAGTTTATCTATGCCTGCATACAGTGTACTTACAGATTGTTTAAAAGCTGCAGGTACTGTGTTCACATTGTGTTGCAAATGAATATTGACTGTTTTTCTGGTGTCTTTTTTTTTCCTACACCAAAACACTTGGCAGTTTCAGTTTGGATGCGTCTGCTGAAAAGACAAATTTTTCATTATCTTAAAGTTTGTAGCACTTTGTAGGAGTGTGCAAGTGGCTAATTTTCTGACTGATCTGAGACAACTGTATCTTCTGACACATGCTTAACATCCTAAGTGTTGTAAGAGCTACTGGTCTACAGTGCTGAAATCACCTACTGTAAAGGTTAATACAGCCGAGTGTGGGGTTATAGCAGTCTTTTACCAAAATACCTTGCCATGAGGATCCCCACTGTAATTAGAGGGCAAATTATACTGGCGTAAACAT